ATTTTGATGGGGATTGCATTGAATTTATATATCACTTTGGGCAGTATGGCCATTTTCACTTATTTATCTTTTTATTTTTGAGTTATGAGTATATTGTATATTCTGGGTGCAAGTACATGGAAAGATCTGAAATATATTTTGCTAAGTGAATGAAGCCAGACACAAAAAGTATATATTGTATTATTCCATTTACATAATATTCTGTAAAAGGCAAAATTACAAGGATAGGAAGCAGATCAGTGGTTGCCTTAAGTCGTGATGGAGTGTAGGGCTGACTACAAAGGCACACCACAATGTATTTTTGGGGTAATGAAGTTGTTATGTATGGTACCGTTGTGTTGAATATATGACTCTACCCATGGAACTGTATCTCATAAAAAGTGACTTTCAGTGCACCCAAGTTTTAAAATAATAAACCAGGATTTCAATGGAGCCCAAGATGGAATGCAGACTATGACAAGTGAATTCGTTTACAGTTCTATGATATAACCACACTAAAACAATAAGAAAAAAGTAAGTTGACTTAAGTAACTTTGGGGAAGTGTTTCGACTAGGTATTGTAATCAAAAGGGGAAAAAAACTGTGGAAAAACATTCTTTTCTAGGTGGAAAATTTTCTTCTTATTGTGCTTTGCTTACTTTTCCTTCCCCCATCATCTTTTAATCCTTTATCCAATCCTTTCTTTAAATTAATTTTTATTGAATCAAAATTGATTATGCAAATTTTGGGGATTCAACATTGAGATATATTGATCAAATCAATGTTACTAGCATATATATTGTTACAAATCATAATTATTCTTTACGCCCCTTGTCCAATATGTTCCCAATCCCCCTCGCTCCCTTCCCCCTCTAATTACCCTAAATTTCTTCTCTCCTTCTGAAAGAATAATGTTTACTCTGTTGATTTATTGCCTAGATGATCTGTCCAGTGCTGAGAGGTGTGATCAGGCCTCCCAATATTATCTTAGAGCAGATGTTTCTTCTGTCACTCTGAACTGGGCTTTGTGGAGAGAGACGTTTTCTTCTTTTCTTTACCTCTGCTGGTGACTCTCCTTGTGTGAATGCACTATAGTGGCTAGCAGACCATCTGCGTGGTGGTTGTGGCATCTAACATCTACTTTTGTGGTGGCCATGGTTATAGTAGTGACTGTGGTGGGCCACCCACATGGAGGTGATGTTTTTGGCTTGCTCCTTTGTGCTGGCAGTGTGCCTGGTTGTGGGGAGTGTCTGGTCCCCAGATTCATGCCTCATGACCTTGGGCAGGACCTGAGGCACTGGTGCAGTGTGCCTGGTTGTGGGAGGGGGGGTCCGGTCTTTGGATCCATGCCTTGAGTTACCAAGCAGGCCCTGAGGCACTGGCGAGGTGTGTCTGGTTGTGGGTGGGGGGTCTGGTCCCTGGCTCCAAGCCTCATTTTCCTGGGTGGACCCCGAGGCACTGACAGTGTGAGTGGTTATGGGCAGGGGGTCTGGTCCTCAGCTCCGTGCCTCATGTCCCCTCGTGGGCCCCAAGGCTCTGGTGGTATGCCTGGGCCAGAAAGAATTTTTTGTCCTTTGCTTACTTCTAAAACGGGGGAACTTCCTGTGGGAACAAGTACTTGAGCTGTATGGTTGAGCTAAATTGCTCTTTGCTACTGTTTCCCTAGGAAAGGCTTTTTGTGCAGTTCAGGGTTTAATTGTTGACCTTATAGGTACTTCTGGCTCTCCAGGTACTATGGTTGACCTTATAGGTACTTCTGGCTCTCCTGAGACCGGTTCACCTGGGTTGTGTAGAAACTCTGATCTGGGCCTGAGTTTTTTCATCAAACTGCACC